GAAATTTGAATTCTGGAAATGCTGGCACCAGTAGTGGCGAAGGGCTTCCTGACGATATCACACCTAATTCTTCACTTCTCTTAGTTAGGAATATTCAGATGGATGAGTCAAAATTATTGAGTGTGGCGATTATTATAAGACAAATTTGGATTCAATAAAAAATAAATATTTGAATTTCACTTTGTATAATAGCTGATACCAACTTAGTTGTAACCTCGTATTTCATTTATTGCAGGTTTTCTGGAAGCTCCATTTGAGGGCATCAAGGACATACTGATGGCCTAAACCAGTGTCAGCCTAGACAGACAGACATCTATTGCAGTTCTGCTACACAAGACCAAACTCTCTGCTTTTGTATGGATGTCTGACTAGTACGGTGTTCTCTAAAGGTATAACTGGAGCAAAACAACAGCATCCGTTACAGTGAAATTTGTGTTCATAAAAGATATGTGTAACAGGTCCAGTACATTTGTCATAAAGGTTAAATCACAGTAAGTACTGTAAAAATAACTTGTTTGCCTTTGTCACAACAGGTCATGGTGTGTGCTTACTGCTCGTAGTAAACACACACGCTGATCTGATGCGGGAGAGATATATGCAAACACATTTGTATTTACTGTTTTGTTTTGCCTCACTAAAGTGTTGTTGGAGCTTGGTATGTTCACAGTTGAAATCACTGAAGTCACATGGAACGTTTTGACAATGTGTTTTGTGCCTTATCTGGACAATGACCATCTTGGGACCATTGCTGTCTGTAGAGGATGAGGAGCATTTAATTTAAAATATTTTAGTTTGTGTTCTGAAGATTAACAGGTCTCTGGGATGACACAGGTAATTAATAACAGAACCTATATGAACACTTAATGTGACATGTAATAGTGAAATAGTGGTCCTACATTCACAAATGTGAGCCATTATTATAAGACCCCTGTGAACATGCAATTTTTATGATAATAATAACAACGGAATAACAAATTGCTTTTACTGTTGTGTTTGTGAGAGAGAATCAAACCATATATTCTACACATTTTCTTGATGATTTACTGAAATATTTGTCTATGTTCCACTGTCACAGGTGCTCAGTTTTGCTGCAGTAATGCTAAACACAATAGATGTACTTTATACAAAAAAAAAAAAAAAAACTACTAAATATTTAGCATGCAGACCTGCAAAGTGAAGGAGTAATGTCAGGTTTAGATTATAGCATGAGTTTTCACTATTGTGAAAGTGAAGCCATTCATTTACAATGAATTGGAATAGCAAACCTCATTATTGATTTTGTAGGAAACTCACCTGGTGTTTGAGAAATAAATATGTATTTAACTGCTAGACTGTTATAGATGTTTTAGTGTTTTACTCTTGATTCTTTGTCCCCAGTGCCATCTTTTACCTCAAGTGTTTCTCTCAACCTATAAAACCTCAAACAGATGTAATGTATTTCACTTGTGATTCTTAGTTGTGAGTGATGTTTTTTATTTTATTTTTTTACTGCAGCCACTTTAAAAATGGGTATTTTGTAAACTTTGTAAACAGAATTGTATTTTGGAGACTGTGATGGTTGAAGCGTAGTTTAGTTACTTAGTTTAATTTAGTTAGTATCTGTCTTTCTGAAGACGGTAACACTTTACAATAAGGTTGTATTAGTAAGTGTTAATGTATTTACTAACATGAACAAAGAGCAATGAAGCATCTTTCATATAAAGAAAGTACAGTTCATGTCAGCTCAGTGCATTAATGTTAACAAGCATACATTTTGATTTTAATAGTATCGGGACATATTTCAATTAATTAAATGATTAATAAATGCTGTACAAGTATTTGTTCTTTGTTCATGTTAGTAAACATTAACTTTAATTCATGAAACCTAATTAAAAAGTGACTCTTTAATTGTATGCCTTTTTTCTGTATTTGAGTGTACAGCATGTATAGTAACCTGCATGGTTTTAATGAAATATGTATGCTGTAAATGTTGCTGTATATTTAGAATAATTGAAATAATAAGGTGTGTATTAAATAAATTGATACACAAAGTTGTGTATTTGTGTCGAGTATTTTTTATTAGTAAAAATTTGTTTGCTATATTTATGGACTTTGCGTTGTATGTAATTTCTATTTAACTTACGTTGAAATGTATGACGGTGAAACAACGTCACGGTATCAACGTTGATCCAATTTGCAAAATCGAAAGGTAATTCAACCTTCATTCAACGTCTACAAAACGACCACAATTCACCCATGAAGAAGGTAAGAGTGAAACAACGTTGTGATTTCAACGGTGAATCACCGGTGGTGGTCCGACGGTGAAACAACGTCACTATATAAACGTTGATCCAATTTGCAAAATCGAAAGGTAATTCAACGTTGATCCAACCATAGACCTGACGTTGATTCAACGTTGAATCACCGTTGAAATGCCGGCTGGGATAAGTATAATTTATTACGGTTTATTAAAAAACCTGTATGGTGACAAGCTCTACAGAAATAAAGATGACAAGTTGCTCAGATTATTTCTGTCATTTTTGTTTAGACTTAAATTCTCCTGATTTTTCCACAAAAATAAAAGCTTTTTAAATATGCCTTAGATATCAGATTGAAAAATTTTCTACGTAAAATGCACACTGTATTTGGTATTTTGATATCACTCCCTTTTTGCACTATTTCTTTATAATGTGTGTTCTACAGCAAAAAAAAATTTAATAAATAAAAAATTAACATGCCTTATATAATGCTTTGCAACTTCATGTTGGCTTGCCTGTATAGTTTGTATAACATCAGTAATAAGATATACAGTTAAAGTCAGAATTATTAGTCCCCTTCGAATTTCTTTTATATATATATATTTTAAATGATGTTTAACAGAGCAAGGAAATTTTCACAGTATGTCTGATAATATTTTTCTTCTGGAGAAAGTCTTATTAGTTTCATTTTGGCTAGAATAAAAGCAGTTTCGAATTTTTTAAACACCATTTTAGGGACAATATTATAAGCCCCTTTAAGCTATAATTTTTCTAGATAATTTACAGAACAAACCATCATGATACAATGACTTGCCTAATTACCCTAACCTGCCTAGTTACCCTAATTACCCTAGTGAAGCCTTTAAATATCACTTTAAGCTGTATAGAAGTGTCTTGAAGTATATCTAATCTAATATTATTTACTGTCATCATGACAAAGATAAAATAAATCAGTTATTAGAGATGAGTTATTAACACTGTTATGATTAGAAATGTGTTGACAACATCTGCTCTCTGTTAAACAGAAATTTAGGAAAAATAAACAAGCTGTTTAATAATTCATGGTGGGGTGTTATAATTCTGACTTCAACTGAATTAAGTTATAGTAAATTTGTCCTTTTAATATCACTGATTTAATGCATAAGTATAATTTATAACTGTTTATTAAAAAATGTATGGTAAAAAGCTCTACAGAAATAAAAATGACAAGTTGCTCAGATTATTTCTGTCATTTTTGTTTAGACTTAAATTCTCCTGATTTTTCCACAAAAATAAAAGCTTTTTAACTCTTTATCCGGTGAAGAACCATGCAACGTGACATTGATTACAAAATAATTTCATATAATACCCAAGTAAAACTCTGTTTTATGAGTGTATATGAGTGCCCTATAAAAAGTTAACCGTAAATAATTCAGTTAGATATTATTAATTCAGAGATATTTCAGTACTACTTAGTGTATGACATGTAGGGTAAAAAATACAATCATCACATGAACTTTAACAGAGAAAAATATCAATAGCAAATGGCCTGACACATTAAAGCTACGAAATCAATTGCAAAATCAATGTTTGTTACTCAGTTTGATCACTGAACCAAACGTTTTAAAATGACATCTTATTAAATACATACTTACAAAAGCTAATATTGAAATTATTATTGTATAAGCGTACTTTAAACAATATGGTCGCATATTAAATGGTTGGCTTAATCTGAGACCAAGCGTCAATGGTAAAACGAATAAATACTGCTAATGCGATAAGCGATAATTGGGTTATTTATATATATATATATATATATATATATATATATATATATATATATATATATATATATATATATATATATATATATACATACAGTTGAAGTCAGAATTATTAGCCCCCCTGTATTGTTAGCGTCCCTGTTTATTTTTCCCCAATTTCTGTTTAATGGAGGGAAGATTGTTTCAGCACATTTCTTATCATAATAGTTTTAAAAACTTATTTCTAATAACAGATTTATTTTGTCTTTGTCATGATGACAGTAAATAATATTTTACTTGATATTTTTCAAGACACTTCTATACAGCTTAAAGTGACATTTAAATGCTTCACTAGGTTAATAAGGTGAACTAGGCAGGTTAGGGTAATTAGGCAAGTTATTGTATGATGATGGTTTGTTCTGTAGACTATCGGAAAAAAAAATAGCTTAAAGAGGCTAATAATTTTGTCCCAAAAATGCTGTTTTAAAAATTAAAAACTACTTTTATTCTAGCCGAAATAAAACAAATAAGACTTTCTCCAGAAGAAAAAATATCAGACATACTGTAAAACTGTCAATGCTGTGTTAAACATCATTTGGGAAATATTTAAAGAAGGAAAATTAAAATCAAAAGGGGGCTAATAATTCTGACTTCAACTGTATATATATATATATATATATATATATATATATATATATATATATATATATATATATATATATATATATATAACCGAAAAAGTCTATTACAGTGTAAACTAAAAGCAAAAGAGCTGAGTGCAGCTAAGCAGCTCCTCTTACAGACGCTAATAGGCAAAAACAAAAGCACACAATGCAGTTATTCACGAGCACAGCACTGTTCTGTGTTTGAAGAATGACGCTGGGTGGAATATCGAGTTTCACTTCAATGATATGAACATATACGATATAAACGCCGTCTAAAAATAATTCAGCTTTGAGTATATGCTCACTAACGTTACCTCATATTTGACTTCGAATTATCCTTATAGCAGAAATCTTACCTTTCAGTGCTGAGGAATCCAAACCACGACTCGGCTTTCACATTTTGCCATGGATGAGAGATCCATACAGTGTTTATTCTAGGCCCCTTTCCGTGTCCATCTCTCTGTAACGGCTATTCAGGTCAAATCTATTCAGTGTTGCACGACAGGAGGATAAAAAAACGCGCATTTCTGTAAACTCACCGTCGATTAATGATAACTATTCAAGTCTATATGTTAAATTATGACCACTAGGCACTGTAGAAATACTCCAGGGCTCTTTACATCCTTTCAGTGAAGCGGATAAATGCGCGATACTGCCTGAGTGATGAGAATAGGCTCGTTTGAGGTGCGCCTCGCCTTGACTGCATTGTAAACGAGAGCAGGCGTGCGCAGTAAGAGGAGGGCTTAAAAATTACATCAGAAGTCGGACACCTGCCGAATCTCGCTGTTTAGCCACCTGGAAACGTCACCAGTGGCGGAGATCTCGTTCGCGTTTTTTATCGCAGACGAATGACCTAATGAAAAAATACTATGGTGATTTATAGTAAATATTACTGCATTTTTGAACATGTTTATTCAGTATTGTGTTGTGTTTTTAGTTGTTGTGATACCAGAAATATAAAATTTAAATAGGCTATTTTATAACATCAAAAGCACTACAGTATACATTACTATAGTATTTTTTAATGTGGGAGTGGATGCAATAGAAATATCACTGTTTTTACAGAGATGGTCAGAATTACAGAAGATGAACAGCTCATTAACTAAAAGGGTGTATTAAAAATATAATTCTGTATATTCAACAAACGTTAAAAGAATAACAAAATAAACAGCGTATACAGCAAGAAAACTTTCAAGAAACCTAATTTGGCTACATTATAAATGAAGTAGCTATAGCAAGATGCTTTTGGGTGACAAGTCATGACAAATGTTTGTTTGACAAATAAATTCTTAGGGGGTTAATTATATTGACATGCTTATTAGGTCTATATAAACTGCTTTTACTCCAGCCAGATTAAAATAAATAGCCCTAGACTTTCTCCAGAATAAAAACTATTAGACTGTAGGAAAAACTGTGGAAATGTTCTTGGTCTATTAAACATGACTTTTGAATCCACATACATATACATATACATGTGTGTGTGTGTGTTGTTTACTACACCCTTTTCACTTCTCATATAAACCACACAAAGATGAGGCATAATGACAAAACAGTCTGATTATCTTTGTATTTCTGAATATATGTATATATTGGATTGACTTTAATGGAATAATGCTGCATAAAAATTACAATACAAAATTCACACAAACATACAAAAAGTGAAAATGACAACAAACAGGACTTAAGACTGAGAGAGAAATAGAATACAGCACACACACATCCTAATGATTTATTAATAACATTTAGTTATATTGGATAGGTCACGTTATGTTTTACAAAGATGTGTTTTGTTTTTGTTTGTGTGTACATCTAAATAAATAACCATATGTAATGCTCTTTATGACTTTTTTTTTAATTATCAACGAAAATACAAAAAAGGTATTCAACAAATCCAGGTATAAACCTTAGTAAAACAAGATAATAAAGTGTAATGTGTCAGTCTCATCCATTCAGCATTAAGCTGTGTCGTCAGCCAGTCGTTTCCCATCATGCTTTTGGTAACGCAGTCTTTTGAGAGCAACTGCGGCCGACTGCTCTATCCGAGGTACCCGCCTCGCGATCGCGAGAGTTTTTTGGCGCACGTCAGCGTGACATCAGAGCGAGGCGAAGGCAAGGCGGACACATTTCTAACCGGCATGCATTTTGCGGTGATCACCGGTGATCCATTCTGCGCAGATTTTGTCCAAGTCAAACGAACCTAATAATTCCCCGCTTCGGACTGCAAAGGGTGCCTCCTCGTTTCTAGAAGGGATACAGCTGCGGCTACATTAACGATTGAATTGATGTATATTATTTATTAAATTACAAATTGATTGTTTTAATTAACGTCTACTCAACTCCTAACACTAAACCCAACCATCACAGTAATGTAAAACAGTAATTATGACGATAGTTATTTATTAAATTGCGTATTATAATAAAAGTATTATTTAATAAATTAATTACATTTCATTTTATTAACGTCTAACTCTTTCCCAACCCTAAACTTACACTTCACAATGATGTAAAAATATTAGTTATTATTTTACAGTGTCACAAAATTTTGCTATCATGACGTGCACGAGTAACCGCGGCTGTATCCCTTCGCTCAGAGAGCGTGTTTCAACCCATCACTTTACTCACTCGCTGTGCAAATCAGTGCACAAGCGTCTACTTCATTAATTATAAGCATCCCAATTAATTCTTAATTTATAGGCACCACTGGATAGATATTTGTAAGTTTATTGTAATCTGTGACGTATTAAATTAACATGCTTTTAAATAAATGCACATTTTTACATTGCACACAGTGCAATTTGAATCAGTAAAATAGTTTTTTTTTTTTAATTCTAAAATTAATATAATTTAACTTGATAATGCAGTTTTAGATGTGTGAGGAGATCCTGAAATTCTGGAAAGCAGAGTATGACCTTAAAATAAATAATTAATGTCACCAGCTCCAAAAATGAACCAAAAAAGGTTTAGATTATATTTATTTTTATCAATCAACATTTGAAAAGAAAATAAGATATATTTGTAGATATGTGCTTTTTACTAGCTAAACAGCTTACAGTGCTTCATTGGATGTCAATAAATAGATCACTGAGAAAATAAAATAATGTGAAATGTTTTATTATTTGAGGCCATTATTAATTAATTGTTTATTAATTAATTTTATTGTATAGGTTTTTTATATGTGTGTATTTGTATCTACATGGATACTTGTGTGTATGCACAGCAGGTATATATTTTATATTTATATTTATTTTTAATTTGTAATAGTGTACAGTGCTATATTGTCTGAGTTGGTGTTGTAAATTACGCTACAAACACCTTATAATAAACTGCAGCACATTTACTGTTATTTCACACACTTTATTTCACCAGATATTATTTCTTATCCGTGATATTATTATTTCAAACTACTAAAATATCAATAAAAGTCACTTTGTGAAACTGCAGAGTTGAATTCTTTACATCAGAAGTGGACAGAGCAGAGATCAACACCCCATAATGCAATTCACAAACATAAATAAACAGAAAACACTTGTGTACTACGATCACAAAGGGGATTTTATTTTTATTCAGTATTGTTTCTCTACATCATGTGGTCAGATTTTGTTGAATTAACGTGCTTTAAAAATAAATTGAACATTGTAGATTGAACATTTTTAAAATTGCGAAGTATAAAATGAAGAAAAATGTGTAAATAAATACACTGTAGATGTGTCTCATTGTTTCATCAAAAGTTCTACGTACACTTGGAGTCTTAAAGGAAGCCTTTAGGCAAATATTCAAGTGCAAAAGCTGCACATGCATGCAGGAATGGGTCGTTTTTTTGCTTCCCCTTTTCTCATTCTAGCTTCCCCAAAATGCAAGGAAATGAGGATGAAGGAATTAAGGTAAAATCTATTTATATATTGAACAATTCTTAATCAGATTTAGTGAGAGTTCAGGGCTTGTTGTCGATGTTTGAATATAATTCTTTATATTAATAAAGCAAGATGGCATTTTCAAATACGGGAAATGTAAGCTCTTTTGTAGTAAAAAATAAATTCAAATAATCGGGCACCAAAATGAATTTGCAGAAGAAAAATGTCTGTTCCAAAAAACTTTTGTGAAAATGACATAATATGGGTGACATATTTTTTTCAGAATTATTTGCCCCCTGTTTATTTTTTCCCCAGTTTCTTTTTAATGGAGAGCAGATTTTGTCAACACATTTCTAATCATAATAGTTTTAATAACTCATTTCTAATAACTGGATTAATTTATCTTTGCCATGATGACAGAAAATAATATTTTTCTAGATATTTTAAAGACACTTCTATACAGCTTAAAGTGACATTTAAAGGCTTAACTAGGTTAATTAGGGTAACTAGGCAGGTTACCCAAAAAATGTAGCTTTAAGGGGCTAATAACATTGTCCTTAAAGTTGTTTAAAAATAATAACTGCTTTCATTCTAGCTGAAATAAAACAAATAAGACTTTCTCCAGAAGAAAAAATATTATCAGACATACTGTGAAAATTTCCTTGCTCTGCTAATAATCCTGACTTCCACTATATATATTAAATATATATATATATATATATATATATATATATATATATATATATATATATATATATATATATATATATATATATATATATATATATGATATGTACAGTGGTCATTATAAATCAGTGCAAAAACATTTTTATCAATTTCTCAGTAAAAATAGTTCATGCATTTAGGTACAAAACAGATTTAATGTATATATTTATTAAAATAATATTTTAGCCACCAAAGACTAATATTTCAAAATATGAATTTAAACGAGACATTTGTGAGGGGTGTACGAGTACTTATATATGTTGAGTACTGTGTATATACACATACACACACACACACACACACACACACACACACACACACACACACACACACACACACACACACATATATATATATATATATATATATATATACACACACACATGTGTGTGTGAAAATGCTCTAGACATGACCCTGTTATTTTGATTGAAAAGAAAAACAACTAATCAAATCATCTGTCTGGGTTTTGGACAGTTTTCAGCTGGAAACACTCAAGTTTGTATCTGGCAACACTGCCGTCAATCTGAGAGCTCTTTTTTCCCCGCTGACACCTGAAAAATTATTAATTATTTCTTTATTACTATTAACAAAAAAATACAGAATTATACAGTAACACACAAAAACGGATCCCAGAGTGTGCATAAAAAACATTCAGTCATTAAAACTCTTACATTCCATTTCAAACATACTTCAAAATATCTTCTTTTGTGTTCAACAGAAGAAGAAATCAACTCAAACATGTTTGAAACAGGTGGATGGAGAGTAAATGAAGTCAGAAATTAAATAACAATATACAGTAATATACAGAAACAAATGCCAGAGTGTACACACAAAACATTCAGCTATTAAACATCCTACATTTCTGAAGAATATTATCAGTCTTTGCCAATGACTGTAAAAAAGGCTGGAACTGACTGTGACGTCATCAAAACACGTCCTTGCTTAGCGCTGACTGAGCGACGGAAGTGCATACTTTTTATCAGAGTGTCGTTTCCTGAAGCGGGAACCTGTTATATGGGAATAATCAAATATTTGCACGGCTGTTACCTGAGTAAGTTTAGCTGAATAAGATGTTTTAACTGACCATTACCATTAATGGATAGGTTGCAGGGAAATAACCTTACATTAAACTGTAACGATAACGTTACTTGCTGAAGCCTCTTAAAATCTATCATCACAGTGTGGTTTTACGCATGTAAACCTGGCGTATAAAGAATTGTTTCGTTTCTGTAACCAGATAATCAAACAGAATAGAGCGCTTTCAAAAACGGGGCTGTTTGTTAATGCTATCTAACGTTACCACCATTAACGTTCTTCTGTTAACGTTAAGTCCGTATTGCTGGTGAAACCACTTAACGTTACCATTGTTGCGTGCCAGTGTCATAATGTTTGCTACATTCAGATGATATGAATGTGTTTTATTTAGACTAAAATGAGTTTGTTTGGGACAAACACGGGCTTTGGGTCTGGAGGGACCGGTGTATTTGGCAGTACCACCACAGACAGCCATAATCCAATGAAGGTAAATACAGAAATGTTATGTCTGTCAAAATTTAGATATGTGAATGGGAAGTAATATGAGGTGTCGTTGATAACAGGATGTTGAAGTAACTTCGCCACCCGATGATAGCATAAGCTGCTTGGCATTTAGTCCTCCTACGATGCCTGGGAACTTTCTCATCGGAGGTTCGTGGGCCAATGACGTAAGTCGTTATCGTAGCTGCATTTTGTGTCAGCGTCTCTGTATTTTTTTTTACAACCTCAACTGTGATATTCACTATTGTTAATATGTTTTTACATGTTAAAATGTTTTCATTTCATATACATTTCGAATGATTGGATCTTAAAGTAGTGTTAAAAATCTTGCTGTCAGTTTGTAACTGCTACATTCTGTATTGTTTTGTTCAGGTACGGTGTTGGGAAGTGCAAGATAATGGTCAGACTGTCCCTAAAGCCCAACAGATGCACACTGGCCCAGTACTGGATGTGTGCTGGAGTGATGTAAGATTATAATTTTAAATATTAGTTATCTTAAAAGTGCACAGATGACTTGTTAAAATTTAAATGTTAAGTAGGTAAAGTATTTGCACAGGAATCAAAATTAAAATCATGAAAACATGTTCACTGATAAATAAAAACCAGCACTGACTTATTTTGCTGGTTAAACAGATTAAACATTGCACTTGCATAGAACCCTTTAATGTACACTAAATAAAAGCCACAATATGATTTTTGCGCAAAATATAATTGTCTTTAAAATCTCTAATTTTCACTCCTACTTATTTGGTATGTTTATGGTTAGTGTGAGTTGTTTTGGTTTGTGATTTCTTAAACTGAAAAGAGGTGTTTACAGATGAATAACTGAATAACTACTAGGTACTGAAATTTTACACCCTCTTATCTGCTTTTGTGTTTTGCATGAAAAGGATGGTAGTAAAGTCTTTACAGCTTCTTGTGATAAAACTGCCAAGATGTGGGATCTGAACAGCAATCAGGCCATTCAGATAGCTCAAGTAAGGAGTTTGTGTTCATTTTATGTTTTTGTGCTTATGAATTGACCTAATTAAAGCTTTTTTTATAGCAAAACCTGTACTTTTTGTGTGTAATTTAATAGGTTCTACATTTTTTTTTCAGCATGAAGGTCCAATCAGGACAATTCACTGGATTAAAGCACCAAACTACAGCTGTATTATGACTGGCAGTTGGGACAAAACTTTAAAGGTGCTGGAACTCCTCCTCATTAGATTAAGACAGCAATCATGGTCATGAGATGACCTAATGACCTAACAGCAATTCTATTGTAGCCTTAGTCTAGAGTAGGTTAACAACTGTTTCTGTAATATCATAATTGTTTATTTTTCTTGACAGTTTTGGGATACACGTTCCCCAAACCCAATGATGTCCCTCCAGATGCCAGAGAGGTGTTATTGTGCCGATGTGGTAAATTAATTTATTATTATTTTTTTAATTGTTGAATTCATTTGCCTAGTTTGGATAATTACTTAGTTTAGTGTGTGTACTTGTTAAGAAAAGTACATCTCTTCCTTATTATCTGTACTGTGACATTGTCCTTAGGCAGTACATGATATCTAAAATATTTTTTTGTGAAATTTGATTTGTATTTTTGTTTTTGGATTGTATTTTCTAGGTATATCCCATGGCTGTTGTAGCCACTGCAGAACGTGGTCTTATTGTTTATCAGTTGGAAAATCAGCCTTCAGAGTTTCGACGTATAGAGTCACCTCTTAAGCATCAGGTCAATATATAATCATTTGTCATGTTAACATTAAAAATCTTTGTGTTTTGTGGCAATGTGATGGATTTTCCAGCTCTGCAAATGCTGTTGCAAATATGTTGGCTGTATGTCACTTGTGTGTTCTGTTCAACAGCACCGCTGTGTGGCTATCTTTAAGGACAAACAGAGTAAGCCTACTGGATTTGCCCTGGGCAGCATTGAGGGACGAGTTGCCATTCATTACATAAATCCACCTAACCCGTGAGTTTATATTTAACCTATTTTCCAATCTCAAGTAATTTGTGGCTGGTCTGTAAATTGAACATCTAATATGTCTTTTTACCCAGAGCCAAGGACAATTTCACCTTTAAGTGCCACAGGTCCAATGGAACCAATACTGCCACACCCCAAGATATCTATGCTGTGAGTGTTCTAGGTTTTGTCAATTTTTGAAACGCAATGGATTGCTTAGGGACTGAATGTATTCTGAGCCTGACCAGTGTTGGAATAATAAAGACAAAAGCAAGTAAAACATTATTTGTACAAACTTTATGCTGCATTTTTTTGTTGTTTAGCAAACAGAAACAGTCTACTTGTTTTTCTTTTCTCTGTTGTAGGTGAATGCTATCTCCTTTCACCCTGTCCATGGCACACTGGCGACAGTAGGCTCTGATGGGCGCTTCAGTTTCTGGGATAAAGATGCCCGTACTAAGCTGAAGACTTCTGAACAATTAGATCAACCAATAACAGCTTGTTGCTTCAATCACAATGGGAATATATTTGCCTATGCATCAAGTTATGACTGGTCCAAGGTACAATATTTGTATATATTTATCAGCTGTGTTATCAGCTATGTTATTTGTTAATATGATAACTTGCTCTGACTTTCCGTATTGTGGAATGTCCTGCTTTGGTATATCATGATACTTAAGTTGCTTTTAGCTTACAAGGATAAATTCCAAAGAAATGCTTAACCGTTTCTAAAATGATACATAGAAAGAAGATGCTGTTGTGAATGAAAGGAATGTTGAATCAATTTGGATTGACTCAACCAAAATCCATTGATATATATATATATATATATATATATATATATATATATATATATATATATATATATATCAGAAAGTTGTAAACACACATGCTATTATATTAAAGGATAAAGAATCAAAGCAACTCCTCATCTGAATCCACATGTCCTTTGTAAAATTGTATGTTTATAACCTCCTGTGGCTGCTCACAAGTATAACAGTTTTTGACACTGGGAAATGTATACATTGGTTAACAGAAAAGTGTATTTTTGCTATAGCTTTTTGTCCACACAAAAAATGCTGCAAAAATATTGCTAATATAATGGAAACAAGTTTATTGAAGTTTGCATATCGTTGTAACTGTTTTATATGTGTACTTCTATTGATCTGTGCTTTTATTTCTTTTGCTTTTTTAACAGGGACATGAATATTACAATCCCCAGAAAAAGAATTACATCTTCTTGCGGAATGCAGCTGAGGAACTGAAACCACGGAACAAGAAATGGTGAGAGCTGGATATCCTTTACCGTGGAGACTGTGTCTTTCATCAAGCAAGGGCAGGAGCGGGTGTGCTGCCTAACTTGCTCTGACTTTCCGTATTGTGGAATGTCCTGCTTTGGTATATCATGATACTTAAGTTGCTTTTAGCTTACAAGGATAAATTCCAAAGAAATGCTTAACCGTTTCTAAAATGATACATAGAAAGAAGATGCTGTTGTGAATGAAAGGAATGTTGAATCAATTTGGATTGATTCAACCAAAATCCATTAAAAACTATGGAAAGCCATTATAGAAATTAAAGCCATGTTATGAAAAGTCTACTTTTACCAGACAAGTGGGGGACAAGTCAAATGTGGCAAATCTCAGGGGTTTTAACAAGTCACAGTTTAGACAAATAAGGCAAGTCAAGTTCACACAAACCATCAAAAGTACTGATAAGATCCAAGACAAGACAAATTATTAAACTAAATGGAGATTAAAACTAAAAATTTGATACATTTATTTATAAAGTGAAAAGAATTATTCTCTAAAACAAGCAGATCTTTTGCAGAATCATTTAGTTAATTTCAGCAAAATATAATTTGAAATGTTATAATTTAACAGTCCAGTAAAGAGTTACGAAGCTTAATAATCTTTTCTGTGGTGGACGCACAATATGCACAGTTCATCTCACACATTCTGTAAACATCCTGTCTGTGAAGCCAATAACACATGGTAAAGTCTAGAAGGGATACGGCTGCGGTATTCAGACATCTGTATAGCATTTTTTTGACTGGCACCACCATTCTGAGTCTTTTTGCATTGCTTAGCGATGAGCTGCAGAGCATATGGTGTGCCACCTGCTTCAGGCAACAGTGTTTCAATTTACTGTGTTGAAGAGATCAAATTCACAGTGACCGTATTCTTGTCTAACTTGTATGACTACAAATGATGGAGTGATTTCTTCCCTGTCTCCATGTTAGCTTACTATTATACAGTATAAGCTGGCTGCTATTTAGCTCCCACACAAATAGAGGTGCACCGACTGCAATTTTCTTGACTGATTTAGATTTTTTGGTAAGTGTGACATGCCAATATCGATTTTTGCTGATTTTTCTTTATAAGAACTACAATTATAACTAATAATGATAATTAAATAATATTCATAATAAAAAAAAATAAACATCACAGTTCCTTCAACATGCATTAATAACATTTCAAAAACATGTAATTTTTTGTTCATTACTTCACTTTTACTTGCTTATTTGACAATAGTCCAAAGAAAAGCATATTCTTGCATTATATTGTCGTAATATATTTCATTTAATAATTCTATAGCTTTTTTGTTATTGTTTTATGGACAGGCCTACTTCTTTTCTGATTTTTTTTACTTTTCTGTTACGCAATTGCTGACAACTTTGTGATGTTTTCTCTTTTCTAACAGGATAATTACTGTCATAGCACATTTCTTTCCTCCACAGAAAGTATTTTGAAAATAGCTTGAAAGAAAAAGCATTTATTATGACTTAAATCATATATTAAATGTTTAACAGGTCACATTATTCAGTTAAAATTAGCATTATTAACAAGGAGCAAGAGAGCCTGCTCAGATGGACGTGTCAGCTCATAAATTCTCATCAAGATTTTATCATGTGCAAGGTTAGCATGTAATAAGCTGCGATTCTTGACTTGACAGACAGGGCTCAAGAATAAACAACTCTGGTCATGTCTTTTCAAGCTACGCCAACTGTTATATTATAATTTCCCCAATAGAAAATCTGCTTACAGGACATGTTCAATAATATCATTCTACCGAGAAAAAACGGTAGAATGGATCAACCAAGGACAAATTATGACATTAACTTCAGTAATCTTTACAGATATTAGTAAAATTGACTATAAAATAATTACTCCATGACATTCATTGTAGTTCCTGAAATGTTGCATGTCAGACTTGAGTCGAGTCATCTGACTTAAGCTTGGGGTAGCAAGGGGTCCATTAAGTAATAATAAAAGTAAAGACTCAGTAGTCCACTTTAAAATGAATGCTCTACAGTACTGGGGCATAAAGTAAAAGTGGTTATGTTAAATCTCCTGACCAACCACAGATATTTCTGCTGTGCTCCTGAACACAGTGGTTATTCAGCCCATGACTTGCTCCCTTATTGCCTGCAGCTCGTCACTGCATCTGGCCCTATGTGGGGTTGAGTCGACTAACTGGTCTGGAATATTTAGCATGCTAGATATTGGATTTTTGTCTGCGAGGTGTTGGCGATGCATCAGCGAGCCTCTTTGATGTGTCGTTTAGTAGTTCGCACATAAAGACTGCTGAGATCTGCCTGTACCCCAAAGATTTTTTTTGCAATCACAGCCCGATCTGTCGGTGAGCTCATTAACTAGCAAATCAGGCTTAAAATCCTGTAATGTGAACTTGGCGTTACACTAAGAGCTTCTCTTCCATTCTATGACACATGAAACGAAAGCTTATACATTATTTGTGATAATGCTGAGTGCAGAGATTTGATGTCAGTGTGGCATGCAAAGAGCTTTACAAGCATACCATCATAATGGATTAATTGAAATTGTCATGTCAACAAGATGGCAGGGAATTGCAGAGATTATGCAAACATCATTGATGTGATCAGATGTTTTACTAACTGCTGTTTTGTGAAGATGGACTTTTTTGTTTGTTTATTTTTGAGTGTGCAGCACATTTACATATTCATTTAAACCTTTCTCAGAGTGTGGACTGCGTTCTACACAGAGAATGGTATTTAGTTTTTTAAACAGGTGATTTAACAGACAGTAAAACGACATGGATGAATACATGAAATGCAAAATTCGCATGCCTTTAAGCTTGAGATGCAAAGCTAACAGTTTAATTTAGTGTATAAGTTTTATTTTTCGAGATATTATTTATGTAAAAAATTTCAAAATGTTTGTTGCCAGCAAAAATATAAAAATATATATTTCATATTTTTTTCTGTAATGCAAGACAAAGGTCACTGATTGACCATGTTTACAGTTTTGTTCCTTTTCTTGTACTAACATGCTAATTATCCGTTATTTGACTGTTCACTGACATATTTATTGGAGAAATTCCTTAAAACAGGAATATGATTTGTAAAACTTTTGGAATTGGCCTGTCAGAAAATAAAGACGTAATAATTGTTAAGCATTATGTCTTTTTCACCATGTGTACAATTTTGCTCAAGGGAAACACGAGCCAAAAAAAATCTCTTTTGAAAAGCAGAATGCTGTATTGACTGACGCCTGCCCCTCCTTGTCTTTAGATTCGTCAAGCTTCGCATCACATCTCGAGGACCTGCATTAGTGTGTAAATATGGGAGAGCGACTTCAATTTGGCTAACACCTGGACCAATGGCATGGCGTTGCATTGTATTATTTTAATGGACCAGTCAGAAGGGGCCAACTGCTCTTAAGCAATGGTCATGTAAGCAGTGGCTTTTTTACGATTGAGGAGGCCATGCTTAAGTATTTCTGGCTTAATTGATGTACCTTCATTGTTTGTTCATAATTTTACAATTACTTGCAGATATTACATTTTTTTATGTGCTGCCTTACAAAGGAGTGCATTTTCACACTTTCTTTCTCTCCTTGGTGTAAAATGAAATCAATAATAAATCTGTCTTAAGCTTTCTCTGCATTTAAACATTGCACTTGTCTTATTGTCATTAAAATCCCACATACACATTTATATGTCTATATTAATTAACTAATCTAGGATTGAAACAACATACAAATGCTATAAAAAATTATTTCTGGTCGCTAAGGATCTTCCGAAAATTACTTTTTATTCAAATTAAGTTACAATTTCCAGAATCTTTAACAGTTTAGCATCATATGAAAAGTGGTCAAGTAACTGTACAAACCCAAATTAGAAAAAGTTGGGACAGTATGGAGAACACAAATAAAAAAAGCAGTGATTAACAAATTAACTTTGACTTCATTTCATCTGTAATTAATCATCCTTTCCTGTCATTCAGATCTGCAACACATTCCAAAAAAAAAAGTTGGGACAGGAGCAGTTTAGGGCTAGTAATCAGGTAAATTGGTTAAATGATGGGATTTAAAAGAGGTGATGTCAACAGGTGATGGTAATTATGATTTGGTACAAAAGCAGCATCCAAGAAAGGTCTAGTCCTGTAGGAACAAAGATGGGCAGAAGATTACCAGTTTGCCAACAAATACTTGAGAAACTTAATAAAATGTTTGAAAACAATGTTCCTCAAAGAAAGATCGGAAGACATTTGGATATTTCACATTTAACAGTGCATAACATAATTAAAAGATTCAGTAAATCTGGAGGAAATTCACTGCGTAAAGGACAAGGGTCTGCATGCTGAACAACTGTGATCTCTCCTCAGGTGGCACTGCATCAAGAATATTCATTCATCTTAAAGCAATATCATCATATGGACTCAGGACTACTTTGGCAAACCTTTAATTACCACAATACATAGTTATCGCCTCAAATGCCAGTTAAAACTGTACTTTACCAAAAGGTAGCCCTATCTTAACAGTTGTAACCGTGTCCAGAAGCATCATCGACTTCTGAGCTGGACTATCACACAGTGGAAATGTACTGTGGTCATATGAACAAATATTTCAGGTATGTTTTCGGAGAAATGGACGCTGTGTGCTCCAGACCTAAGAAGAAAATAATAATTCAGACTGTTACCAGCAACAAGTCCAAAAGCCAGGGTCTGTCATAGTATGGGATTGTGTCAGTGCCCTTGGCAAAGGTAACTTGCACTTCTGTGATGGCACCATTAATGCTGAAAAGTACATTGAGATTTTGGAGCACAAAATGGTGTCTTCTTTTCCAGGGACGCCCATGCATATTTCAACAAGACAATGCAAAAGCACATTCTGCACAAAGTCCTGGCTGTGGAGAAAGAGAGTACAGGTACTTTGCTGGCCTGCCTGCAGAACTGACCTGTCTCCAATAGAGAATTTAGTGCATTTTGAAGTGCAAAATGCAACAACGAAGACCCTGTATTGTTGCCCATTTTAAGACTTGTTTGCTGTAAAAATGGGAAAATATTACACCTGGAACACTTCATCACTTAGTGTCTTTAGTCCCTAAATGTCATTTAAGTTTTGTGAAAAAGAATGGAAACATTACAAAGTGGTGAATGCTTTACTGTTCCAACTTTTTTAATTGTGTGGCAAGACCCTACATTGGAATGTTTATTTAAAAAATCTGCAATGAAATCCAAGTCAAATTTAGAAATTACTTTTTTCTTTCTTTTGCGTTTTCCAAACTGTCCCAACTTTTTCTGATTTAGACTGATTTAGAGGTGTGTGTGTGTGTGTGTGTGTGTCAGTCAAACATTCAACCCATATTAAGCATTGCTGTTTGTAAGCCAATCAATTGTACGGTAGGGCACAAAATATAGTTCAAACAAGTATTTGGAAAATCAGATAGCTTGGAGTCATAAATGCCATAAGCTGTTACCCATATCTAACTAGCAGATATGGCCAAATAAGACATCTTGTAAAAGATATAGAGAAGTATTATTTTTCTTCTTTTTTTCCACTGCAAAGTGCTCGTTAGTGCACACAATGTGCTGATACTATAAGAGTTGAAATATTGCAAATATTTTGAAATCTTTGACAATTCAAAACATGAGCTGAAAACAGAGACTGGTGACTCCACAACCCAGCAGGTGGGAATGCGGGAAAAACCAGTTCCTGCTGCATTTGCATCTGAGTCTGCTGAAGCTCGGCTTCAGTCATTTCAATGTTTGAATGTTCTAGATTAACCAAACTGACTTTAACTATCATGTTTGATATCATTTGAAATGTCTCAGTGCGATTGGTACAATGGTCTCATTCTCTCAGAAACAGACATAATCAAAACAATAAATATATAACTTCAGGCATCTTTTGAACCACTGTGAAGGGTGTGACTTTTCCACTAAGTGTGAATGCCTTTTGTTATACACACACCCCCTTTCTTGAGGGAATTATTTAAGGTAACGTTTGAGAAAGGCTCAGGGCGATTCTGCCTAACCAGATCAGCCCATAACATGGAGCCTGCTCCATGTTATGTATATTTTAAAGTCAGGATATGCATCTTTTCATCTTGGATTTGTCTTTGATAATTTGATGTTTTCTATTGATCCTTTATGAATTGACTGATTGAATTTGGCATAATACATTTACCTGACTAATAAATTATGTTTTGAATTATTTAAACCTCGTGTTATTATCACTGATAAATGTTGTTGTCCATAGCACTACAAGCCACTGTACAGGTTAGTATTGGACTAAAACATGTTAGACGGAGCAGCGTGGCACGCTATACAATGTTGTTAGAGATCCGACAAACAAATTGGCATTAATTCAAGTATACTTAGACTGCAAAAGGCCAACTATTTAGAACAACAAAATATTGTTTAAACTACTTTAAATGTGGATATTTAGGCCTTCATCTAAAAAAATTATAATCCTGTGCGATTATTATTAAAATACTTTGTCTTGATTAAGTAGATAACAGATCTATGGGGACCACATAAAAATCTCCTAAATTGAGTAATGTAGGGTTCTGCCTTTTTAGAAGAGTGGTTAATACGTAGACGTAGGACGCAGCTTCTGTCTATCCATTTAGTCTGAGTCCATTTGCACTAATGTTAACAACAATAGATGGCGGTAATGCACACTTATGTTTGCAACCAACGAAAGGGGGAGGCCGAAGAAGACAGCGCAAGTCAGATTCGTACAGATAGTGGTGGTGCACACTGTGGACAAAATGGTTCCCTCTATGTGGCGGATCAGTCGAGCTCTTACTAAAGCTGGCTACGTAAGTATTGCGAGCCCTTGGAATACTAAAGTGTTTTTAAAGAGTTTCAAACGTTCATTTTAGGTAGACTGATAAATATACAAGTAAACAGCCGCTTTCCACGATCAAAGTGATTGTCATTGGCCTTGTGGATACCAGAGAGCTAACTGATAGCTCACTGAAGGTTTGATCACTTACATTTGTGTAAAAGCTTTTATGACCAAGAGACGAGTTAAAAAAGATGCGTAAGCAAATCACTTTGTAATTAAAATGTTACGTTTTTATCTATCTTTTACTTAATGTTAGGGTTAAGGTAACCTCGTTATTGATCGGACAAGGTCATTGAAAATTGACGTCATTTGAAGATGTATGTAGGTTATATTTGTTCGCTTTATATTCTGTAAATGTTAAGCTATGTAATATAAGCGTATATCCTTTTGGTATTTGTGACATTACATTTCGTCATTTTTAATCAAGTACGTTATTTGCTAGTGTTATGACCGTCACCTCTTACTCTGCAGCAAGCGGCAGCAAAACAGCATAGAACGAGCAATTTTTCTTACTATTATCAATGAATGTTTTATAAATGTTTCAGTAAATATGGAGATTTCATGTAAATGTATCTAACGTTAATCTTCATATAGGCATCATAAAGTTTTGAAGACAAAACAACAACTACCACTACTACGGTTTACTTGTGTATAAGTAACTTACAGTTTCATTTTTACAATGAACGACTCAGTGTGGTTAATGTAACATTCTTTTGACACCTTACATACAGATTAAATTATTACTTTTTTTTGAATGCCATTTAGATTTTGGGTAGTTGATTCACTTGACAAACATATTGCCTAGTCATAACATTACCTAATCGTTTTTAATTACTAAACATTTTGCTTAGTCTTCAAATCATTAAATATGTTGTAATATATTAATATTTTGACATGTATAGGGTCTGCAGGGGTTGTCTAAAATAATAATAACAATAATAATAATAATAATAAATGTTAATCTGCAAATTTATTGTTTATCACCGCTAAACAAATATTATTTGCACATAAAATGAAAATTCTCTCAATGGAAATTTAAAAACATACTATTTATGATGTAATAAAAAGTTGCAATGTCAGAGTTTCTGTTACATAATATAATATAATATATATGCTTTCTGAGCCAAGTGAACGTGCTGTGGACAGACGAGACTGAGGCATTGACTGAATGCAAAAGCACAGGAACTGCATTTTGCCCCCCTTAAAATTGGATCAAGTCTGACAAAATGTAAATTTATCAGGGCTAGCATTATTCATCCATTTGAAATATTGCAAATGCATTAGAATACAATGCCAATAAGTCCTATAATATCTATCAATTTCATTCTGATTCTTCATTTGAAAGTGCAACAAGTTGTAAGTTGATATAGCTATTTTATCTGTTTTACTTTCTTTCAAATTTTTGTTAAATCTGTACTGAAACTCAGTCTAATTTTGTTCGTCATATTAGTAATAGGGATTTCTGAAAAGCCAGTCCTTAATTGCTGAGATACTAATCGATGACTGTAAATGCAAAATCAGGATCTCTTGTTATCTTGCCAGATCATATTCTTCATTTAATTTGTCTTTTTGGTCAGTCTGTACTAGTTCATGTCATTGCATTACTTTGTGATGTGGATTTGTGAAGGAAATTGTGCCATACTTATGTTTGGAACTTTCTTTTCTTCTAGCCTCTGCGCCTTTCTTTAAGACGTGGACAGGCCTCTGTGTCTTATGCTCAGAGCCTTCTAGGAGCTCCAGAAACTCGGCTCACTACCCTAGACAATGGCTTGAGGATTGCATCTGAGGAGACCAACCAGCCAACATGCACGGTAAATAGATATTTCAGAAAGCAGTGTGTCTGATGGATCAATAATTGGGTACCGCATCAACATGTTTATGCACATTCAAACCTCACAAAAACACTCCTGCCTGACACTTTTTTTGTTTTGAAAAAGGCTCATTTTACAAGTCTCCTAGAGTTAAACAGTTGACTTGAATGATTTTTTAATCCATTTAGACGATTTCTTGTTTACATTTAGCATAGCATTAAGGCTGCACTATTAATCAAATTTCTTATCGGGATCATAATAACTGATGCCACAATTACGTAATTGTTCTAAGCTGCAATTACAAAAGAAAAGGATTATACTCTACAAGCTTCAGAGGTGTGTTTAGAGCATGCCACATTCCCCTACCATAAGGCCTATGCAGGGGCTCGAAATTGCAATAATTTTGGTCGCATATGCGCCCGAAATTTTATCTATGCGACCTCAAAATATATTTGGGAGCATTTGTGCAAGTGCATAAAATTGTTGTGTGCGACCAGTTTTTACAGCAAAATGTTCACCACATGCGTGGATTCGGGAGACATTCACGCAGAATGCATCTCTAAGCTCTTTGTCTGCACTTGAAACGCAGCGCTCAGGAATGGTTTAAAACAGTTGTCATGTCAACTTGCTGCATTAAACAAAGCCAAGTCCGTAATGCTTGCTCCGCCTTCGCGCTCTTCTTATTTGCCCACCACTGCTCTAGCACTGAAATATCAGCTGTCAATCATTCAGTCAATGCCTTCTGACTTGGGATGACAGAGAGCTACTACCGCAAAAAATATAAAATGCTGAAGATGAGTATAAAGATAACACTGACAGATTTTGTTTTAGAAACCATGGCATCTAAAGTTACAAATAAGGACACATCTTAGTAGTGATCATGTGCTGAATGTTAATCCACCATCTACACTTTTCGAAGAGTGGATAAAAGACTTCCGTTGGCTTTAAGTCCGCTATGAAAAGTCTGTGGGATGGAATTTTCAGGTAACTGTTTGCCACATCTAGCACTAGAAGACCGGTATTGCTATTAACATGATGTATGCATATAATAAGGTACAGTATATGTCAAAAACATCAGTGCAATATCAGACACCACCCGTGAGAAAAGCACAGTTATATGGTTAACACATTCATTCATGTCAAGCAGTATGTGCAGGGCCGGTGAGTGTATGCTTTGGTCACTCAGTTATGTTATAAAAATCTGTTTTCTTGTAATAACGGGATTTCGTTGAGACGTATTTTCCTTAAGCTTGCATATATATATATATATATGTATATATTGCTTGTTAGTTTGATTATTGTTGATTTCAAATGCAATAAATATGTTTGTATAAAACTTGTAGTAACGATGCTTATAATTGTTGGGTGCGACAGAATTTTGGCTGATGCGCCTACATTTTTAAAGTTAGGTGCTACCAAGCAAAAAGGTTAATTTCGAGCCCTGCTATGTTATTATTTACACGATGACATGTCATTTCTGTCTCTACAAGGTTTACATGCCCCTCTGCTAAAGTTATGGATGCTTTCATATTAAAGCGAAAGTGGAAGATAAGTGGAATTTATGCTCTGCATTTTACCAATCCAAATGCACAAACACAGCAGCGAGAGCTTAACACATCGCATAAAAAGAAGCCGAGTCACTTATTGTAAACTTAGTTTGAGTCCTGTCATTAATGCCATCATTATTACCTTGGTTTTGACATTACGAGTGCATGTGGGACCAGTAGCATATCTTCATTTTGAAACTACAGTTTATTGAAGCTTTTGTTATTTAATCACTGAACCTCAAGATGCAAAGACGACATGTGGTGGAGATTTCAGAATGCCTCATCCTAAACCTGTGAAAGTGATATAACGTATGAATGAAGTCTGGCCTCTGAATGGTAAAACCAATAATAACCAATAGTTATATCCAATAATTACCACAAAATGCTTGGCTTGAAATAGTATTTAATTGGTTATGCCTTAGAATGTAAACATTTGAGAAATGATGTTGTCTGTAGCTTTCTCAGGGCCAAATCTGTGTATTGTCTTAAACGGTTAACATCTTATTCCTGCTCTGTGTTTTTATTGTTAATCAAACAACAAAAGACAATAAAGTCATTCTCTGCTTCTGACTGAATAGCTGTTGTAACTTCAATAATGTTTAACCTTAATTTATGCAGTGACGTTTACTGTATGTACAATAATATATTTGATTAGATTATTCAGTTTCATGCATATTCTTCTTTTTTTTTTTTTTTTTTGAAACTGTCAATGAGAAAACCAATAATAGTTTTTACTATTATTTTATATTATTATGGCATGCTATTGCTTTTAACAGTGGTAGAAATCTGTTTAAAACATCAATGAATGTACATTGTGATAATCACTATTACAATTTCAATTGAATAATCAACAATTATGATTTTTGCCACAGTCATGCAGCCCTACTTGGCGTATTTATATTTACCATTAGCGTTTATAAGTATAAGTAATGATTATTATGTTTCCTGAGAGTGTTGAATTGCTTTGCAAGCCCTGATCATACTGAATGTATTATTTTGTGGTGAGAGGCGCCTTTTTAAAATTAGTTCTATTGTCATCAAGTGGATTGCGTGGTCTTTATGTCCCGCATGCATCTTTTGTTCGCCTACGGCACCTCGTGTTTTGATGGTGCACTTATGTGTCTGAAGTTGGAAAGAGTAAACTAGGAGCGCTTTGCTCTTTTGAAAAATGGTCGATTCTAAAGTCAACAGAAATGCAGTGCATTACACCTCTTATTTTCAGAATTGAAAGCATATTCCACATTCATTTTCTTTTGTTTCAATGCCATAAATGTGTTTTCTTTTTTCATAATTTGTCTTTTTTTGTTTTTGTTTTTTAATAATATTTTTTCTGCGTTTTCACCTAATGGATGGGAACGTGTGCAGGGGGGCTCAATCCTTTTCCTGGAGATCTACCTTCCTGCAGATTTCAGTTGCTACCTATATCAAACACACCTGCCTGTAATTATCAAGTGGTGTTCAGGTCCTAATTAATTGGTTCAGGTGTGTTTGATATGGGTAGCAACTGAAATCTGCAGGAAGGTAGATCTCCAGGAACAGGATTGAGCACCCCTGGTGTAGAGTATTGACAGGAAAGCATGGGGAGCAGAGAAGGGAGAAGGATTGGCATAGGACCTCGAGGCAGGAATCAAACTCTGGTCGCCGTGAGCACCAGAGTGCATATGTCGACTCACTAACCACTATTCGGGCTGCTTGATTATGGGAAAAATCATGATTATTTTGATTATAATTGTAATCCCAATTTTTCAGACCGACTATCAGTTGAAGTCAAAATCATTCGCCCTAATGTGAATTTTTTAAAAATAAATATTTCCCGGATTATGTTTAACAGAGCAAAGATTTTTTTCACAGTAATTCCTATACCATTTTTTCTTCTGGAGAAATTTTTATTTGTTTTAGTTTGGCTAGAATAAAAGCAGGTATAAATATTTTGAAACCTATTATAAGGTCAATATTATTAGCCCCCTTAAGAAATATATATTTTTGATCGCCTGCAGAAGAAACTACTGTTATACAATGACTTGCCTAATTACCCTAATTAAACATTTTAATATGCACTTTAATCGGAATACTAGTATCTTGAAGAAAATCTAGTCAAATAATATGTGCTGTCATCATAGCAAAGATAAAATAAATGATTTATTAGAAATGAGTTAAGTCTATTATGTTTAGAAATGGGTTGAAAAAAAATCTTCTTTCCATTACACAGAAATTGTGGGGAAACAGGGGGCTCATAGTTCAGGAGGGCTAATAATTCTTCAACTGTATAGTTATTTTCCTCCCTGTAAATAAGGTAAGGGAAATAAATATGATAGAATAAACATATGAAACGAACTGTGCTTTAAGCATTTTCACTGAAAGAAAAAAAAATTTATAGCTACAAAAGTCCTTCAGTCAAGAGTAGTGTGTCGGCAGCAGGAATATTGCGCGGTGTCACTTTAAGAGCAGTGCAGTTTTGATTAATGGTTTCACTTTGGCATGTCTTTTGATTCTTAACTCGTTTGTTTATTACACAAATAAGGGTTAACATAAATAATAACCAAACACAGCGTTTTGACACAAAGTTGCATGTATTCGACCATTAAAGCTCTCATATTATGATGACTTTAGATGTGTGTGCTCTGCTCGTCTCTGAGGCTGAGCACACACACACAACAGCATGCGCTCTTTCGCGCTTTTAAAAACATAAATGATTCGAATGTACATCAATGAATGATGTGGATACTGTGCTGCAAACTTTTCATTACAGTACATGTTTTAGTCATTTTTACGTGAAACTGAGCTTTGCAGAGCAACAAATGTGTACAACTGGATAGCGGTGGTAAATGATGCAATAATCATTTTATCTCGATTAATGTTTTTTCATAATCATTAGAAGCCAAAATCGAAATCAAAACCGAATTTTCGATTAATTGCACAGCCCTAACCACTACACCACAGGCTCTGGCTAATTTATTAAATGATTTTCTCTGGACAAGTGCATTTGCAGAAAGCCCTTATATGGAACTGGTTTGGGCATGTATTAGGCAAATTACTAATATTGTGCATGCAGATGCTAATTTAGAACAGAGCGAATACTTCAAATTCACTAACAGAAGAACGAGTTTAAGAACAAACTCATGTGCATATGCATGTCTTGCATATTATGTGGAAAGTTTTTGTGAGAAGTTTAGATGTGCATTTATAAATATGTAAAACGTACGCAATTTTTAGGAAATGACACCCATTGTTTTAAATTCATGTAGGACCACTCCGTTGTTCTGTTCTTATTGTATTTAAAAATCATGTTCAACCTCAAGTAAATGAACTGCAAATTTGCTACATCTGTGATTCTTCATAATTCTTTCATGTGTTTGGCTTTTGCAGGTTGGCCTTTGGATTGGTTGTGGGAGCAGATATGAGACTGAGAAGAATAATGGAGCTGGGTTTTTCTTGGAGCACATGGCATTTAAAGTATACTATAACACCTTATGATTTTTTGCAAATTATATTTAATAAAAGTGAGCACACATATTAAGTGAAAAGCAGAAACAAACAAATTAATTGGCAATAAATAAAAAAAATCTCTTGATTTAAAAATGTAAATGCAAATTATTGTCTGTTGAATAAAAACAGAAAATATTAGATGTGTGAAACTACTGTGATTACTGTATTTTAAAGTGTTTCTGCACTAGATTTAGTTGTTGTTCATGCAATTTAAAACCGTAACTCTTCACTAATTAGTATGCTTTTATTCCTATATTGAATCAAGGGCACTAAGAAGCACCCTCAGTCTGCTCTTGAACAGGCAGTGGAGTCTATGGGGGGTCACCTGAATGCTTACACCTCTCGGGAACATACTGCTTACTACATGAAGACTCTTTCCAAGGACCTACCTAAAGGTTAGAGAACAAACAACCCAGCTACTAAAACAGACCAATTACTTTAACAGGTTCTAGATGGCATAGCCCATGTAATGTTTTCTAAATAATCTTTAAAAAAAAAAGTTCCAACAAAAAATGAAAATTCTGCCGTCGTTTACTCACCCTTTACTTGTTTCAAATCTTTAGGATTTTCTTTCTTCTGTTAAACACAAAATAATTTATTTTGAAGACTGCTGAAAACCTGTAACCATCGACTTACATCCTACTATAAAAGTCAGTTTATAGGTTTTCATCCTTTTTTAAAAATGTCATCTTTTGTGTGCAACAGAAGAAACAAACTTAAAAAGGTATCACTATAACAAAAAAAGTATCACTATAACAGCTGAGAGGAGAGGAAATGTCACGCCAGCAGGTCAAACGGGGCCACAGTGAGAGAAAGAAATAGAGTTTACTTTCATTTTCTCAAGTAAACTGCAGTAAAACAGCTTCTGCTGTATGTCAGTGAAAGACTGTCTTGCAAACACACACACACAGTGAATTGGGCAGGGTATCTGTGTTTTTAAGTAGTTTCAGTGTTTTAATTGCTCGCGCTCTCCTCTCTCGTCATAGTAAGCTACCGCGCCAGTGCATACGAGATAAATGATGACAGTACGTAATAAGCGTTTATGACCTATTACTGAACCGGTACTGAATTGTCCGCGTCTGCATCGCGGTGCACCAAAGAAACAATTAATTTTGACACTCCTAATATGTTATTCTTACTGCCTGAATATATTTAATCGGGATCACAAAAAAAAAAGTATAGTGTGTAAAAACCTATCTAAACAGGTAGCATGTTCCTTTATGCCAATCTGATGAATGTTTTTGATTAACATCTATATTCCTGGAACAATATTCCAGTCAGAATTAAAGGATATGTTTACCGTTCATGTTAAGTTTAGGCTTACGGTTAACTTCTACATGATTGTTATCCAACTTTTATTCCCATTTGATTTTAGGAATAATTTACAGTTATGGTTGGGTTTAGGGATTGGGAATAGGTATGGATTAAATTTTCCAATAAAAATGATCCAGGATCGCATCGTACTTGGTAAAATCATGATGTGGTTCTTTAGGAGACACTAGACTGAGCGAAAGAGCAATCACATCGCAGCTCTGTCCGCAGATGTTGCTCGAGTAGTTTTAGCTGCAGTTACCCAAGCACAACTATCGCTCATAGTCTCTCTCTCACACACACACACACAATAAATAAATCAAATCAGTAATTGAGTCTTTTTAGTCGTTCGCCTCCAGTAGAGGAAAGGTTTTACTTTAAAGCTGCTACTGGCTAGAAATACAAGTTAGCATGCTGTGTCCATGGCAACATTATCACATGACCTGGTAGATAGATTAAACTGTAAAATGCTCACTGCTGTTTGCCATGCGAGAATGACTGAGAAATTCAGCAATCAATAAATATAATTGAAATGCATGCATCTTATCATTTTTTTTTTTTAATTTGGAAAGGTGCTAAAACGGAACCCTAGTACTAATTTAACTTTTTATAAACCAATAAAAATATATTGTGTGGTTTGAAATAAATGAAGATTTCCTCTGACTATACAGGACATCTGCTCTGAGTCAGCAGGAAAAGTGATTTGATCTGATTATACATACCTTGTTCAACGTTTAATCAATAGCCAAATTACCATAATTTAGAAAGATGATTGCACGAATGTTTTCTTAAACTGCTGCAAATAGGCTCCAGGATGTGTAAAATGTCTATTTATTCATTCTTTCATCACAAAATGTCTTTTTTTTTTTTTTTTTTAAGCGGTGGAGCTGTTGGCAGAAGTAGTACAGAGCTTATCTTTGAGTGAGGCTGAGATGGAGCAGCAGAGGACTGTGGCGCTAAGAGAGCTGGAAGAGATAGAGGGCAGCTTGCAGGATGTTTGCCTGGATCTGCTCCATGCTACGGCCTTCCAGGGTACTGCTCTTAGCCATAGTGTTTTTGGTCCTTCTGCCAATATCAGGTATGCACAAAACCATCAAGATGTTTAATATTGTTGCATGTGAATTCTGATATTGCACACCCAGTATTGCGTGTTCATTACAATAGCTGCATTTATAAGCATTTGCATTGTCAAAATGATGGCTCAAAGTGATCTTTGGTCAATCAAACTGATCTCAACTTGAATTAAATTTAGAAATGGGTGGTGGAAACATGAAATTGTGTAGTCTACAGAAAATGGGCTACATTGGGGGACCAGTTTTCCTTATATATATATATGGAAATGAATGATTTCTGGCTACTTTGATGCTCTTGCTGCTTTGGGGTGGACCCACAGTAACAGTAGCTTTCTCCAGGCCTGAATGCATTCAAATTTGTAAGTGCACAGGTAACCAAACAAAACCGTGAATCAGATTGCAAACTTTCAAATTCTGATATCAGATTAAATATGGACTTGCCAGATTCAATGTATCTACATAAACATAACAAATGAAATGCCCCTAAAAGAACTGATAATAGAAAATGTCTTTTTCATTCTCTGTATTTTTAAGGACACTCACACGTAATGATTTGCTGGAGTACATCAATTGCCATTTTAAAGCACCTCGCATGGTCCTGGCCACAGCAGGAGGTACTGCTGTTTTCTAACCTGCAACCTTTTCAAAGATGTGGTTTTGAAGGCCACGCAGAGCAAAACCAATTGTTTAATCACCATCTTTTTCCTCGACTATAGGAGTGAGTCACGATGAGGTTGTGTCTTTGGCCAAGCAGCATTTAGGGGGAATTTCTTTCGAATATGAGGGTGATGCAGTACCTGTTCTGTCCCCGTGCCGTTTTACTGGGAGTGAGGTATGAATTTTCTGTGTTTTTATTTTCTAGCCTTTACCAATTAGTTGACTTGCTGTTAAACTTGCCATCTTGCTTTCAGATTCGCATGCGGGACGATGCAATGCCTCTAGCACACATTGCTATTGCAGTAGAGGGACCTGGAGCTGCAAGTCCTGATATTGTGCCATTAATGGTTGCCAATTCCATCATTGGTAGTTATGACATCACATTCGGGGGTGGAAAGGTTAGATTATTACTTTTGTTAAACTTCTATTACCTGATCATTAATTTACCCTGTATGGATTGCTTGGTATTTTGTGGTTTAGTTCTTATTAGGCTCGGGGATTTGTCCGGCCATTCATTGTCATATTTGTTATAAAAAATGCCATACATTTAAACTTTGTTGCCAGTTGCAGTTGATTTGCAAAGTAAATCATTAGACTGAAGGATTATTTAAAGAGAACAATTTGAAGGATATTAAATGTTGTTTTTTTTTATATAATGATGGATGAAGATGATGATGGTTTCATCCAAAAACCTAATAAACAAGTAATATGGGGAGTCCATATGATTCATGGGTTTATGCATATTTCATATTTTTCTGCATAAAAAAGACCAGAAATTATTACAAAAAATCCCTTCCAAACATTTTAGAAATGACTATGCGTACAGTGCTTGTTTAAAGCTTATTTTGAACTTAATAAAATGTTTGATCAGTCAAGAGATGATTCTGAACAAGCATCACATGCCTTCACTCAGCTGTGGTCATGCATTACAAATCACATGTAAATGTCAAGTTATCCGAGAAGCCGAAAAGTAGAATGTTGTTGTGATGATGAAATGCTCTGTGTTCTTTTTATGTTGTATACAGCACTTAAGTAGTCGACTGGCTCAACGGGCTGCAGAGCTGAACCTGTGTCACAGTTTCCAGACCTTCTACTCCTCATACAGCGATACTGGACTGCTGGGAATTTATTTCGTAACTGAGAAACTTAAAATCGAAGACATGATGCATTGGGCTCAGAATGCCTGGTGCGTTACAGAATTGAAACCACATAAGTGTGGTTTAGGTTCTTTCATTTAATCATTTATTATTCAGTAATCATAAGTGTTGATGTTTCTGTATCACAGGATAAATGTATGCACCACAGTGACCGAGAGTGATGTGGCTCGAGCTAAAAATGCTTTGAAGGCTAGCTTAGTGGGACAGCTCAATGGTAATAAACTCAAACGTACTATTCATAAAGAAATATTTCAATGTCCATATGCCAGGGGTGTGCAAACTTGGTCCTGGAGAGTTTAGCTCCATCCCTAATCAAACACACCTGAACCAGCTAATCAAGCTTTTACTAGATATACTAGAAACTTCCTAGCAGGTGTGTTGAAGCAGCAAGTTCGACCTAAAGTAAGTAGGACATCAGCCCTCCAGGAGCGAGTTTGGACACCCCTGCCATGTGCAAAGCATGTTTTTTAGTGTTTTTTTCCATGTAAAAAAAAATTAACACGTTCTCCTTTGAAAAAGTTTTTTGATCTTCATTTAATTACAATATTTTCATAACCAAGTAATCAATTGTCACTACTTTATCCATGATTACAAACAGATTACCTTTACTTACAGCCAGTGGTTTAAAATAGAGTAGAAATCAATTTTGTTTAAATCGAGTACATGTTTAAAATAGGGCACAAATACATTTTGATCAAGATAAAGGAGAAAATTAAATAGTTTAATAATAGATTTCATCTATTGTTGCCCAGTAATAAATCTTTGAATATATTGTGAGTTATTGAGGGGAGAAACTAAGCTTTTTGAAACAAACAGGAGTATTTGGAACATCACAAGCTGATTTTGATTTAGTTTAAACAGGCTTTAATTTAAACATCTTTTACAAACCAAATCTTTAAATGAAGTCCTAATCTAATAAATGAAGTGCATTGTCTGATACAATTCAGTATGAAGAAGAAACCATAACTACATATTTTTTTATAATACAAATAGGTCATTAAATTGTCTACAAGTATAATAAATTGATCTAAGATTATAACCCCATAGCGAAAGAATGAGCAGAGAAAAGAACTTCTAACCTTTGGGTCACAAGTATAATCATTTGGCTCTTGTGTACATGCATGCATGCGCTCTAAATTTGTCTACAATGTTGGTTTGATTTTTTCCCTGTCAGGAACTACACCTGTTTGTGATGAAATTGGCAGGCACATACTAAATTACGGTCGGCGCATCCCGTTGGCAGAGTGGGATGCCAGAATCGAGGTAAATGTTCTGTCATTACAACTTTAGGATGGGTGAATACCTGAGGTTAAATACATTTTTAAGAATCCCCTGTTGTTTAATTGCTTTTTGCTAGGCTGTGACTCCCAGTGTTGTCCGCGATGTCTGTTCTAAATATATATATGACAAATGTCCAGCTGTGTCTGCAGTCGGTAAGTCCATTTATTGTTTTTTTTATTTAATGTTTATATTTTAAAATGTCTGTTTTTTTAAATTGTGGCATTTTCTTTTCTCAAGTTTTTATAAAGAATTTTACCCATCAGGATTGTTAGAATGGATAATGTTAAATGTGAACATAAAAAGAAACCAAGGGTGCATGTTTCATGTCACATGCAGTGCATCCGGAAAGTATTCATAGCGCTTCACTTTTTCCACATTTTTTGTTACAGGCTTTGAGGAATTTATTTCCTCAATTCTACACACACTACCCCATAATGCCAATGTGACAAGATTTTTTTGAAAAAAATTATTTAAACCCCCCCCATAATAAGTATTCACAGTCTTTGCCATGAAGCTCTAAATTGAGCTCAGGTACATTCTGTTTCCACTGATAATTCTTGAGATGTTTTACATTTTTTTAGTTTACCTGTGCTAAATTCAGTTGATTGGACATGATTTGAAAAGGCATACACCTGTTTATATAAGGTCTGAGGGTTGATAGTGCATGGCAAAGCACAAACCAAGTATGTAAACAAAGGAATTGTCTGTAGACCTCTGAGACAGGATTGTCTGGAGGCACAAGGCTGAGGAAGGTTACAGAATAATTTCTGCCGCTCTGAAAGTTCAATTAAGCACAGTGGCCTCCATCATCTGTAAGCGGAAGGTGTTAGGAATCACCAGGATTCTTCCTAGAGCTGGCCGGCCATCTAAGCTGAGTGATTGGGGGAGAAGGGCCTTAGTCAGTGCCAATGGTCACTCTGTCTGAGCTCCAGCGTTTTTCTGTGGAGAGAGGAGAACCTAACAGAAGGACAACCATCTGTGCAGCAATCCACCAATCAGGCCTGTATGGCCAGACGGAAGCCACTCCTTAGTAAATGGCACATAGCAGCCCGCCTGGAATTTGCCAAAAAGCATTTGAAGGACTCTCAGATCATAAGAAACAAAATTCTCTGGTCTGATGAGACTAATAATGAACTTGTTACATTTAGGGAAAACCAGGCACCGCTCATCACTTGGCTAATACAGTGAAGCATGGTGATGTTAGCATCATGCTGTGGGGATGTTTTTCAGCAGCAGGAACTGGAAGACTAGTTAGGATAGAGCAATATGAATGCAGCAATGTACCGAGACATCCTGAAACAAAACCTGATTCAGAGGGCTCGTGACCTCAGACTGGGGTGACGGTTCATCTTCCAGCAGGACAATAACCCAAAGCACATCGCCAAAACATCAATGGAGTGGCTTCACAACAACTCAGTGAATGTCTTTGAGTGGCCCAACCAGAGCACAGACCTAAATCCTATTGAACATCTCTAGAGAGATCTGAAAATGGCTGTAAACCGTTGCTCCCCATTAAACCTGATAGAGCTTGAGAGGTACTGCAAAGGAATGGGCAAAAATTCCCAAAGACAGGCGTGCCAAGCATGTGGCATCATATTCAAAAAGACTTGAGGCTGTAATTGCTGCCAAAGGTGCATCAACAAATTATTGAGCAAAGACTGTGAATACTTCTGTACATGTGATTATTCAGCTATTTAAATTTTTAAATAAATTTGCAACAATTTCAAAGAAAATTTTTCACATTGTCATTATCGGGTATTGTGTATAGAATTGAGGAAATAAATTAATTTATAAGGCTGTAACATTAAACAATGTGGAAAAAGTGAAGCCCTATGAATACTTTCCAGATCCACTGTATTTGTTAAGGCAGTGGTTTTTGGTTCTGAAATGAATCATCAGAACAGGTCCTATTACTGAATAGGCATGTTAGTTTTTGTGCCCATATTTAGCTTCAGTTTCTCATCAAATAAAGTGGTAACTAGTCAGCAGTGTGCTGTGGTATTGGGAACAATTTTTGTTGACTGCTGATTTATTTTATTTTTTCTTCTCTATGCAGGACCAATTGAGCAGCTGCCGGACTATAACAGAATGAGGAGTGCTATGTTCTGGCTTCGGTTTTAATTGTTCTTTGGAAAGCAAGCATTCAGTGATTTCCTTATAATTTTCAAACCCTTATCTTGTATGTACTTGAGGGGTAGAAAATTTGCCCTCGTTTTCTTTATCCATCACTTTCCAAAGAGTAATTTGGTGCATTCAATGTCGGACATGAAGCGGAGCTATTTAAAAATTTATGCGATGCTTTATTTCTGTTCTGTTTGTGTAAATAGCAATAGCTCTAATACAACTTCAAATAAAACCCTGTCACACTGAACGTTTACTTGATTTGCTTGCTTCTGGGAAATGAAATCATTAAGCAGGTCATAAAATAACTTTGGGTGAAAGCTGTGGTGTAAGGACGTTAAAGAATATATAGGACTTTATAAAATTACTTCTGTAATTATTTAAAAACATCTTTGATGTTTCGGTTAGTTACACTGATTTTGTGTCAGTCATGATATTTTACCCTGACCCTAAACTGAATGCAATCCAATATCTTTGCAGCAGTGGAATATGTATACAACAAAAAAAGTTTCAGTTTCAAAAATATTTTATAATGGTTGTTTTATTTTAATGCTGTAGCTAACACATTGTAGATCACACATTTTACAGTAGCCAGAGGAAACGTCAATGTTTGAAAGAGGGGAAAAATAGAACTACTTATCTATAATATAACCATAGTTGACCAAATTATTTAAAAACCAGTGATGTAGATTGATACAGAAACCTCATTTTTTGATTTATGCACCATAACACTTTCCAGTATTTGTTGAACTTCAAATCTGAGATGTTTAGCAATCTTGTGTGTTTACATTTTTTTTTGGTCCATCATGGCAGTTCATTTGAAGCAAAAGCACCTGGGTCTGTTTTTCTTGTTGGAGACTTGTTCAATTATTTCCAGCAAACAACAATGTTAGGGTCATTCTCCAACCGTTCATCCAACTCTTTGTAACTCATTCCTGCAAAAACAAAAATAAAAATGTCACCTGCATTAAAAAAAAAACTTTAAAATATGTAAAAACAACAAATAAAAACACAATAACACGTACCAGTTTTGCAGCAGATTTCATCATAACTATGGCAGCCAGTGTAAAGTCTAGGTGGACGACTTCTTTCATCTCTTACAACCTTGACTGGATACTTCTGTAGACGTCGAATCAGACCTTTCATCAAGCCAAACTGAATCAACTTCCTAAACAAACAAACAAAAAAAATTAATTGCCAGCAGCCAAATGAGCCAAAAGGACTTAAAAGCATTTTTGGGATGTTGTTCTTAACATGTGATTATGATTAGTGTTGGAAAAAAATAAATGATGAAGAGAGAATCCAGTCCAGGATACTTGAACTAGCAGAACAGGCTTTATTGAGATGTGTTGGTTGATCTGCGGTCATACACCCTCTTCAAGAAGTCCTAGTGTCTGTAAGAGCCTACTGGGGTCTCTCACAGGTCTGAAAGCAAGTCTATAATGAAGTGTTTTTTGGAGGAGGGGAATGGCTAGGTGAAGTGTTGTTATCAGTAGAGTAAATTGCCTTTCACAAGCCCCGATCTCAGCAATATTAGAAGCATGAAAACAAAGCATGCAAATGAAGTATTGGAGCCCGTCCTGCCACTTGACCAGCTCAAAAGTGTTACCTAGCTATTTGTTAGACAATAGACACAGCCGTGCTTTGAACTAAGAGGTTTAAATGTCACACCCTAGCTAGAATTTTGAATGAAATAAGCAAATTAAAAACCAAAGAATGTATTTTTTTCAGTTATATGTAGATTACTGTTAATTTAAGACTAGAGTAAATAAATTTATTTTTCCACACTAGCATGCCTTACAGCTGGTACCTTAAAAGTAAAGCGTTAAAAGGGATTGGAAATACAGTCATTGGAAACCTATACAGCCCTTGAGGATCACCTAAACTACTTTCATTCATTTATTTTCTTTTCGGCTTAGTCCCTATATTTATCAGGGGTTGCCACAGAGAAATGAACCGCAAAACTATCCCGCATATGTTTTACGCAGCAGATGCTCTTCCAGCCACAACCCAACACTGAGAAACCCATACACTACAGCCAATTTAGCTTATTCAGTTCACCTATAGCGCATGGCTTGGACTGTGGGGGAAACCAGAGCATTATGGTGGCACAGTGGGTAACATGATCGTTGGGGTGGGTTTCCTCCGGGTGCTTCGGTTTTCCCTACAGTCCAAAGACATGCGCTATAGGTGAATTGGATGAACTAAATTGTACGTAGTGTATGAGTGTGTGTATGAATGTTTCCCAGTACTGGGTTGCAGCTGGAAGGGTATTCTCTGCGTAAAACATCCTGGATATTAAAGTGGCGATCCCTGATGAATAAGGGACTAAGCCAAAGGAAAATGAATGAATGATTCTATATAAATAACCTAGGACCGCAATATATGCAGACATGCTCACTGAATAAAAAAACGGATCACTCAGACCACATGGCTTGAGTAAATTAGAAAATCCAAGAGTCCACTTAAAGCAGGGTGAATTCACTTTAAGCAATAACGCAAATGGTTAGGACAAAAACTCCTGTTAACCTGGAAAAGATCACTTGTCATGGCGTTGCATCTAAGCGTTGCACTATTCCTTTGTTAATAAATGTGTCATCTATTTTTAAAATGTGTCATTTTAATGCTGTTTATATTTCTTAAGACTTATTTTGTGATTTCATGATTTTTAAATGCTCTTTTTATGGAAAGCACTTTAAATTAGCACTATTAATGAAATGTGCCATCTATGAACTGGAGTTGTCATTCATTCATTCATTCATTTTCTTTTTCGCTTAGTCCCTTTAATAATCTGGGGTCGCCACTCAATTCACCTTTGGACTGTGGGGGAATCTCACGTGAACACAGGGAGAACATGCAAACTCCACACAGAAATACCAACTGACCCAGCCAAGGCTTGCAGCAGCAACCTGTCTGTACTGCCAACACACTGCCCCATTGACGAGTTGTAAAACTAATTAAAAATGAACCTCAGCCCAATGCTTGGAATAATGATTATCAATCATCTTAAAGCAGCAATCAGACTGAGACAAACTTGCCTGTCGTCCACTTTTTGTAGCTGGTGAGAATAGCGGGAACAGAGGTCACGTACAGTCGTACCTGGGGTCAAACCACAGTACAACTGGAACACATCCCTGAGACTTGTCCTCTGCCCTGGTGACATAACACACAGCAAAATAAGCACTGTGAATAGAAACATCTCACTTTCATACACTCATGATGCAGAAAAATACATTTACTATCTCTTTGTACTTGCTCACCTGGCTTACTGACATAATGTAGACACTCTTCCTGAAGGCACTTCTTATCTATTAGGTTTTGCACTTTAGGTGTTGTGCAGTACACATTTGAGTACTGTAAAGTACGACAACCAAAAATGTAAGAAAAAGAACCCATTACAAGAATGAGAATAAACAACATCAACAAAAAAACATACCTGAAATATGGATACCAGAGTTACCACGTCATAATACCTGTAAAACAGATCCACTGCTTCAGTGTGAAGTCTTAACTGTAGAATGATTGTTTACACTATTTAATATATAACGAGATATCAAATAGGTAAGATTTTAAACAGCTTCACATAATCAATTGTGGCAACATGCCATGTAATTCATAAATTTCTGTACTGTATTCCTTAAATGTTTGTCTATTTTGAACACTGATTCATGCTGCTTTTCATGCCTTTACTGAGCTAATACAAATTTTCAAGTCATTATCAATATTTTCTGCCCTATTACAGGCCCATAGCCAGCCTGGTAAAAGTGGTGGTACAAAAAGTGGAGCTTTTGCAGTTATTTGCCTGATTTTCTATTTAATGATAAGTATAATTCTGCATTTTAGTGACATTTTAAGCACTACTTTTAGCTGGATTAGCTTTTTTTGTTGATCATATCCATACCCTTTGATGTACCAAAAATATTTCCTAAAGATTTATAATAAAGAAATATTAATAAACTTATTTTTTAAAAGATTTAATTCATTGCATCCTATCCATTAAAAAAAAAAGAATTTGTTCAAGTTTTAAAAGGGGTGATGCAGAGTGTATTTTTAAGTCTTGGTTGTGTTTATGGGGTGTAAAACAATGTGTTCATGCTTTATTTAAAAAAAAAATATATATATATATATATATAATATATAATATAATATTATATAAAAATATTTAATACTGCTACTCTGCAATCATGAAACCGACCACCATATTTCCTGCTTTCTCAGAAGGCCTGCCGTCACGGGGGTTCTGATTGGCCAGCTAACCTAATGTTTTGTGATTCGCAGATCAGCTCCATGTCACTACAAAACATCACACTACTAGCATGTGCTTTGCATCTGTTGTGTAAATAATGTCAGCGCAGTCGCACCAGTTTGAGAATGAATCGGACACAGAAAGTGAAGAGGACATAGCTGAACCTCTAAAATAAAATTTGACACGTGTTTTTCATATTTATTCAGTTTTTAAGCATGTGTTATTAATACAAAAGTTCACATGTCTCTTGCGAAATCATTATTTCAAATGCAAAACACAAGGAACACAGACATTGCATGTGCTGGTGAGGATTACAGGGTTTTTACAGATAAAAATGAATTTGAAGCTAAATTGTTAAGTGTCAAACAGTGTTTTCCCTTGTTTATGTCCTTGCTACAACATACAGTTAACAACAGAAACTATGTATGTAATATAAATTCATTCATTCATTCATTTTTTTTGTCGGCTTAGTCCCTTCATTAATCCGGGGTCATCACAGCGGAATGAACCGGCAACTTATCCAGCAAGTTTTTTACGCAGCGTATGCCCTTCCAGCCGCAACCCATCTCTGGGCAACATCCACACATACACATTCACACACACACTCATACACTACGGACAATTTTGCCTACCCAATTCACCTGTATCACGTCTTTGGACTGTGGGGGAAACCGGAACACCCAGAGGAAACCCACGCAAACGCAGGAAGAACATGCAAACTTCACACAGAAATGCCAACTGAGCCGAGGCTCGAACCAGCGACCTTCTTGCTGTGAGGCGACAGCACTACCTACTGCATCACTGCTTCGCCAATATATAAATTATAACAAATAAAAACATTTTGTGGCTCACAATCTACAGCGTCTTCTATTATCGTTAGAACTACTTCTTTAAGAAATTTTTGGCCAAATCCAGCACTGAACTGGGATAGATTCTGGAAGCTGTCCTTTGTCAAATGCTAGAGTGCTACCTTTTTTGTAATAGGAACATGACTTAAACTGTAA